TGGAGAGACACTTTAACCACAGAAATGAAATCTGAGTTGCTTGTGGTACAGGATAGTGAGTTGGCTAGAACATCCCTTTTAAACATAGCTGCTTATTGATTTTTTATATCAAATGGACTTTTAAAAGCTTTGCATGGTGTTATAAAATGTCACTCATCTATTTCCTAGTCTTCTTAAGAGTACGGAAATATATTCCAAAGTCACAGGATAGAGTCTAGCAGCGTGAATCCAAAATCACTTATTTCCACAAACATCCTGGGTACTGGAATTTCCCTAACAGTTGTCAGACTGTCCTTTAAGAACAGCATTATTTCATCAACTCTTTGTTTTATTTCTAGATGTTATGAATATTCTGATTATTCTCACATTCTTATCCATTAAGAAACAAAGTTACTTGGAAGCCCTGACTAGAAAGTTGCCTAGTTTGTTGTCCCAGTAGGGATCTGGGCATATCATAACGTAATCTTCAAATCGAAGATTACTGAAGATTACTGAAGGTCTGTAGACTGAAGATCTACAACTGTCCTAAATAACTTGAAGATTCATAGCATAAAATACTGGGGGAAGGCTTGGTTGCTACTGTGTAGGAAAGAACTGCACAGCTGAAAGGCACAATTTGTTTTTAAATATTTCCCTTTATTTGTTTTTCTTTTCCCCTTTATTGGTTTCAACACAGAAGAAATTATGAGATATGGAAATGCTCATGGTCAGAAAAATAATTGAAGCTCTTTCACAGGTGCCATATGGAGGCCACCAATCAAACTACAATATACATTATGAAAACAGTGCTATGGGACTCATATACATCCTGCTGTCTATACTGCAGTTACAGAACAGAAATACACTTGCAATTCTTTGTAATATTTGTCTTCGATCAATTGTACATTTGTGTGATCTACAGAGATTCAGGTGAATACATCCACAGATGCAAAATGGTGCTTTCTTAGCAATTCACAACACAACTGGGACACACACCAAAGCCTGTCAATGTTTGGGAAGGGAGTGGAGCAAGTCATCAATTAGTTTCTGAAAACACAAAGCCACTTAGATGTGAGCAGCCATTCAGAACACTAAACATTCCAATGTCGCTTTGTTGGAATAAAGAAGGATTATAAAAAAATCTAAAATGTTTGAATTGAGTTAATGTATTACACAGTGATATTTTAACACACTTGAAAACAGTCCAAGAGCGTAGAATTTGTTCATGTGCTGCTAGTTCTCACAGTGCACAGGGAGATGCTGAGTGCAGCCTGTTGGTATGAAGATTTTGTTTGGCAGCGCTTCAGTGCAGCAGCAGCCTTGGGGTCACGGCAAGGCTCCTTGGGAACACCACTCATCAGTGTTGCCAGTACTGACCGACTCCCCTGCCTAAGAGGCACCTTTAATGGGCTCTAAAGAGCAGCTTATTACTACCTACATGGCTGAGAGGAACACTGCTCCAGTCTGAGATCTCATGGTAGAGGGACTGGATGGGGGAAATGGCTGAATATGCTGGAAAATATGGCACAGTTCCCCACAGCGGTAATTGCTTCTTTGCATCCTGCATTCTTGCATTGAAACATCAGAAGTTTCAGAACTAGATGGCAAACCAAAATAGAGGGATAAAAGGAGAAGGGAAAGCTTGCGTTGTTTTCTTGTCATCAGAGTAACCCCCTTCGGTGCTGAAGTTTCTCATGTGTCAGGAGACGAGAAAAAGTCACAGAGCAGGAAACAGTGCGTAATGAGGACATTGGATCTGCATGTGACACGGCACTTTAGAAAACTCCCGGCTGTACATTTATTTGCCTTGCTTGATGACAAAGAAATAATAAACCAGTTAGATTTATATGAAAAGTGTGACATCCGGAGAAATGTTCCATTGCAGGGTACAAGTTAGCTGTGCAAACACAATGCACAGCACAAACAGGAAAACTGATATGTGGGTTTGAAAGACAGAACTCACAATACCCCTTGGCAGTAAATCACACTCTGTATGTTTTCCTTTGCTTTTATTCAAACAAGTTCTGTATGTAAAAGTGTCTTTACTCATATCATATTACACATGCAAAAAAATAAGATGACTTTGTAGTGTACACTTCCTTATATGCTGTGCCTAAATTTAGGGTATATACCAGAATATATCTTTCTAGAAAACAGTACAGTATCACAGGTATTGTGCTAGACAAAACTCTGCTTCTTTCCATTTTTTAAGTCTTCTCGGTTCTTTCACTGGAATAGCTTTTGAATCTCCATCTCCCTTCAGACGAAATACTTGTTTCTCCCACTCGTTATCCTGCTCCTGGGCTGCATGATAATGATAATTATTTCACCTCAGAAAGGTCTGGCTGGATTCTCACTTTTGTATCCCTTTCTTCATGACCCAGGAGTGAACCTCCTGAGGTACCCTGGACTTAGAAGCAACTGTGTAATTGCCCATGACAGTCTTTTTAAAACGAAATCCCTGTTTACTCTTAGAGATGAAAGCAGATATGAAATGAAAATTCAAATTTATTTGAATTATTCTGTACCATGACACAAGTTGGGTAAAAAACCCTGAGGTTTAAGGCTTTTTTTGAGAACTGAGAATTATTCAGCTCAACAGGAAGTTAGGACATTCAGGTGGGTTTACTACTGCTGTTCTCATGAATACTTAATTGTTTGTATGAAGTGAGACACGTCCAAGAAGAGGGACCCAAATGTTTCCCCACCTCATTTATTTAAAGTAGAAAAGCCAGGATTTGAATTAATTTTCAAAAATCCAAAGAAAGTACTTACACAGCAAAATTACTATCCCAATGCATCTCCTTCTATCAGAAAATTCCACTGTGGACCAAGTACCTCTCCCAGTTAAAATTTTATTAAATTATATCCTTAAAATTGGTTAATTTCTGAGGAAAAAGTCCACATAACTGTAAGATTCCGCAACAAGTTCTACTCAAGTATTGGTCTGCTTTTCTGCCTCCACTCCTTTCAGCAAGGCTCAGTGACAGTTTTCTCTCTTCCAATATAGCCATGACATTTCTTGTCCTCTTGCTCACAGTGTTTTCTAACTTTTTCATAGCCCTTTTGAGCTCTTGGCTCTCAGCCTTCACAAACAAACTGTGCAATGCATCTGGAATCAAGGAAGAAAAAACTGCATAATTATTAAGTTAAATATTGTCTCCTGACCCTTTCAAATAAATTTTTCATCTATTGCCTTTCCTGGTTATTTCCCAACCACCTGCTATTAAGTTAAACAGATACGGTTGAATACAGCATATTCAAACAACCTGTAGCAAGCATTAGTAAATTATTACAGGAAAACTTTCTGCTTCTTCAAGAAAGGCAAATGTAAATTCACTTCTCTTGGACACCTAACCTCTGATGGGGTGGCCTCTCTTTAAAAGAGCAGAGGTATTCTGTCTCCCATTATTTCTAGGGATTCAAATTTCTAAATAGTTTTGTCAAAGAACTGTCAGAAACATTAATCCAATTTCTTTTGTTTAAAACTTGATGGTCTCAGTGTCAGTTCTGACTTGGCATACACAAAAGCATTAACTTTTATTATAGGTCAAGATCCATTAAAGAAGCTGAGACACGTCGGATCTATTGTAAACTGTGTCTCACCTTTCCGCTCCCTCAACATTTCTGTGATTGTACTATAACCTCATTCCTTTTCTGATGATTGTCAGATGTCTGTTAATATAAAATTAAAGGTAAAAAGTACTGCTATACAACATAGTAATACTAAAACTTGAAGCCACAGAGTATTGAATATGAAGACAGCAGCTATGTAAACTTCAAAAACCGCTGCATATTTATAGAGAGCTTCACAGAATAAATGGTATTTTATGCTCCACACCATTTAGACCTCAATCTTTCTTCTGGCAAGCCAAGCTGTTATTTCTGTGAATCGTTCCAAAGTAATTTATAACCAGGCCAATGCATCACCGACACCAGCACCTTTGAAGTCAGGTAGGGATTATTCATTTACCGTGAATTTTCTGAGGAGCTTTATCCTCTTTCCATACACAGCCATTAAAAATCAGAGGTAAAAATAAAGGTGCTGGTCACAAACAAAAGTAAGCTATCAAACTCTCTGGTTTGAGAGAGTTTGGTATCAAATGAATTCTGGGCAGTGCAAAAAGCCAATTAAATTTTTAATGTGGAACCTTCAATTTTTAATGTGGAACATAAGGGGGGTTTAGGGTTCCTGAAATGCTCCTTCCAAGGAAGTGAGATCCAAGCGCACCCAAAAGCCCAGAGCTCTGGGAAAACAAGCCCAAGGGTCCGTGCAACCACCCTTGGGGACACACTGAAGGAGAAAATCACGAGTTTTGGTGTAATTTTTAGCTCTCCATGGAAGACTGTATGTACCGACGTGTGTGTGTGTGTGTGTGTGTGTGTGTGTGTGTGTGTGTGTGTGTGTGGGCGCCTGTGTGTAGTGTGTTGCTTCTCTACAAGAAGAATAGACTGCGTGTATCTTCATCCATGCTGTACATTAGGAGGAATTTCTCCTCCTAAATAAAGGGTGATTAAACACTGGAACGGGCTGCCCAGGGAGGTGGCGGAGCCACCGACCCTGGAGGTGTTTAAGGATGGACTGGACATGTCACTCAGTGCCATGGCCTGGTTGACGAGGTGGTGTTCGCTCATAAGCCGGACTGGATGACCTCAGAGGTCTTTTCCAACCTAACTGATCCTGCGATTCTGTTATACACACGAACTGATACAAACTCTAAGACTGCAAACGCCTTGCGCGGGTGGGTTCAGCCGGGCAGCTGTGAGGCGACCACCGGGATCCGCTGGGGCTGCAGCCGCGGGAAGGTCCCGATGGGGGCGGCTGAAGAGATCGGTCTGCCCGGGCCAGGTCTGGAAGGGGCCTCGGCTGAAGGCACGGGGGAGCAGAGGGGCGGCGGAGAACGGGAACGGGAATGGGAATGAGAACGGGAACGGGCAGGAGCTCCCCCGGGTTGCCCTCGGTCTCTCCCCGTCTCACGGCCGCCCCCGGGCTGCCGGGCGCATGCGCGGAGGCGCCGCCCGCTCCTCCGAGCGCGCAGCGGGAGCTGTGGCGGCAGCGCTGGGACAGCCCGGCCCGGCACCCCCGGCCCGGCTCCGGAGCTTCGCCCGGGCGGCGGCGGTGAGTGCGGGGTGTCCGCGGGGGGAACAGGGGCTGCCCGGCGAGGGGAGCGGGGGGAGCGGCCGGGGCGGTGCCCGGCGGGTGCGCCCCGGGGCGGGGGTCCCGCGTGGGGGCTGCGCGGGGAGACCCTCGGAAGGGAGCGAGGGTGGAACGTGTCCCGGCGCCCCTCGCCGAGCTCCGGGAGCCGCCCGGAAAACTTCTCTTAGAGGGGTTTTGCCGTTTCCAGTTAAGCCGGGGACGAAAACGTGTGCACTGTAGCGAACAAAGGAAGAATCCTGCGGAGTTTGTCTTTCGGGAGAGGTTAGTGGCTGTCTCCGAGACAGGCAGCTGATACGTTTTTCTCTGAAGTTTCAAAAAACGCCACCACCGAAACAAAGCCGCGGCCATCTGAAGTTTTCGTATTCCTGTTAAAACTCTGTGCGCTTTGGGCAGGGTCACCCCCAGACCCCGCCCGTGTTTGGGCTGCCGTGCCCGGGGCAGGGCTGAAGCCGGAGATGCTGGGGATGGGAAGGGGTGTTTGGGGAACGACCCCGACCCGGGGTCTCATGGACCCTCTCCCAGGCCTGGAGCTGGCAAGGGGACAGTGTATTCACATCCACAGGAAACAGCAGGGGCAGGGGGAAGCCTCGGTGTGATCGCAGTTGAATCTGGGATTCAGTGTTGCATTGGTTGAGGGGTGAGAGAGCAGGCGGTGGCCAAGGCTTGTTGGGAACAAAACGGTGAGGAATGGGGCCCGGGAAGAAGACTATTTTAAGTTTTCATCGTTAAGTCCGGAAAGAGAAGAGGGACAGTTATGCAGATGTTGATATTCTAGATTAAAATCCAGACCTTAAATTTATTATTACTATTGGCTGTTGCTGTCACTGAAGTCGTGCTTTTTCTACTGCCTGGGCTGCTCGTTGCCACCCTCTGTGCCATCCTCTCCCCATGCTTGGCACCATTGTTTATCCAGCAGTGGAGTGAAGTGGCACAGAGCATTACCCACAGATTCACAGTGACCTTATAAACACTTTCTGATTAACCTAGTTAGTGATCACGCCTATTTCTCTGCACTGCCATCAGGGAGCTTATACTGGCTCAAGGAAACGTGTGATGGGGAGGGAAAGAGTTTATTTTTGTCGTACTTAAATGAGTAGGTATGTATATAAATATTTTTTTAATGCATAAACATAGGCAGAGACAGACCTGTGTAAAGGGGTTGTGCAACTGTGATGTTGAGCATTCAGGCTCGTGTGTTGAACAGAGGGAGTGCCATTGATAAAGCAGTTGTGGGGGAGGTTTACAAGTGCAAGAGGTAAGAGCAGTCTGAGGAGCCTTAGCCAGTAAAAGTGAGTGAGATTGCAAGAGTAGTTCTTGCTGCACCAGGGGAATGAAATTAGAAGCCAGAGAAGAGGGGACTGGGAATTTATGAGCACTGGCTGGAAACAAAAGTGAGATTTTTAGTCATGTATTCAGCCATTTCATTTCAACCTTTCTTAGACTAGAAAACTTTATTTCCCAAACAGACTAGGCTAGAGTCTGGGATTCCTGAGTATCTGTTTTCTAGGAATTAGCAAATAACAAGAAATTCTGTGGTGAAACATCCATTTCTCACACAAGTTCATCCAGAAATTTGTCCAGCTAATATATTAGCTCAAAACAGCAAAGCATTGCATCTGGTTATAATGCAGGTGTTGAGATTATAACTTGGTGACATCAGTTTTCTTTCATTAGAAGTTGCTAGTTACACACGGTCACAGTAACTATACTAATAGTGTCATCTCCAGAATGACCCAAAAATGGAGAACTGAAGTTCTTAACTTTAATTCAGCCTCTTCATACATCCAGACTGAAATACAGTTTTCTATTAAGTAATAACATATTGTTTATTGTGTAAAAAAATCCTGTTATACTCAAGGTATTAAAGAGATGAAGTATTTTGGTCTCATCCTTATTAATTTGGTTGTGTGAGGTCGAGACATTTTCTGAATGTGACTCAAATCTGCATCAAATTCTGCTTTAACTATGGAATCCCAAATTTCCTCGTGTCTTCTGTTGTGCTTATCACCTTGGTACCTCAGTACTTGACAGATTCCCCCCGTAAATGACAAAACTCTCCTAAGACATCCTCCCATTCCACATGAAGAATGAAAGATAAAATTATGAAGACCAAATTTGGTCCAGGTAGGATCTGATCTTTTTCAGGGCATTGAGTTCAGTGTCCTGGTTTATACTGTACAGGTGCAAATAAACTGAATATCTAGTCTAAGCTTATGCTGCTTTTGCAGATCAAGAACTCAGATTTTGGGAGAGGCATCTCTAAAAAAATGTATGTGGTTGGTGTCCACTTTGAAACAGCATTTTTAGGTAATTTATCTAGTCATGAATGAATTCTATGGCAAAAGCACGATAAAATATACTTCAGGACACTGTTAACTTATTTTAGAACTACAGCATTGTGAACATTTTGGTTTTCTCTGTCATTTTAAACAGCTCCCTTTTCCCATGATTGTCTTGTCCATCATTTTGTTCATCCCTACCTCTGTGACATCCCTCACTTGTGATAGTGTAACCATTTCCATATTCATCTGATGAGGCAGATCACAAAATTATTCGAGTTGGAAAAAACCTTATCTGACTTACTTTGACTCTTTCCTGGCTCTTAGAAACAGCTGGATGGGCAGGGAACAAGAAAGGTGGTTGGTACCACTTACCCCAAGTATGAATACTGGGAAAAAACCTAAGCCATTTTGCCCTTCCACTTCCTCTTCTATTATTCCAGTAAATCTTTTGTTCCTCATTTCTTTCCATTTACTCAGCAAATGACACCAGATTTCCTATGGGCAAGAATCTTAAATTTTTTTGCGCATCCTGTTGACAGCTTTTGCTTTCAGATTCTCAACTCAATCCTGAACTTTGCTGCTGGTTTTCATCCTTCTCCTGCATGAATTCCCATCAGCTGTGTTTCCAGGATGCTGCCTTTCTCTGGCTGGTGTTTCTTTAATGGTTGATTTGCTTCAGCCTCCAAAGACAATCTGATTTCTTCCCCCACCCTTGCTTCCTCTCCTCTTCCACATTATAAACAAAAGCACTTGCATTATGCAGTAGAGAACCCTACAGAGCTGGCAAGGGAGTGGACTGAATGACCTAATGTCTCGCCTCTGTTCTCCTGCCAGCTATTTTTGAGTTCAGATCTTGGTAACTATTTGACCTTTTAAAGTCTAATCTGACAATACCCAGCCCTTTCCTTGTTTACCCTTGTTTGGTTTATTGATTTTTGTTAAACAAAATTTGATGTACATTTGTGAGGTCTGAAATACACTTAACCCATTCTTTCCTTTGCCAGCACTTTTGATGGTATTGATTATCAACTAATCTGTGTTCCAATCAAGATTGCTGACTACCATTATTAAAATAGCTACATTTCAAAAGTGAAGCCTGTCTTCATACTGGAAGGTAAAGAAATTACATCCTAACCACCTAAAATCACACCATGGATTTTGCCTTGCTTAGGTAACATATTTGTTGAGAGCTATTTTATATGTATTTCAGACTCGCTTATATTTAGTGTTAGATAATCATTATGTAAAATATCTTTAATTTTGGATAAAAATTACACATAAAATCAGACAAGAAATATATTTGTACAGCCCAGCATATTGGAGCTAGCATCCAGGGCTGAGATTCCTGGATAGTACAGTAGCACAAGTGCTGCCCATTTTCAAACCAACAATGCTGCTTTGTCTAAATATTTTTTTGAGAGTAGATGTCTTGACATGGAGGAGAGACTCTGCAATTGCATCTTGAAAGATCTTTGAGGTTCCTTGCCTTTTACACATCACACTGTGTTGTGTACCTGCTCAGTGGAATGTTTCATTTAAAGCATTAAATCAGCCTTCTCATGTCCCTTTTGAAATGACTTTTGAAGATTGTCATGTCATGTTCTAAGGTCACACACTCAACATATTTCCAGTTTTTCATTTTAGTTGTCAGTCTGTACCACTGTGATTACTCCCAAGAGTGGTCAAATTAAGTGATGCTAAAATCCAGAGAGGCCACGTGAAATGTAGGACTGGAGTAGTTTATTGTAGATAAAGCTTCTTAATCCTGCTGAAGTGCTGATTTTATTGCTTGCCTGAAACTGCAGAACATCTATATTTTCCAGAACTGTAGGGTAGGTGAGATTTTTTTGTTTGTTTGTTTGTTTACACCAAGATGTTATACCCTTTTGTTGTAATTCTGGATGTTCCTGTTTTGCCAAGCTCTTTGTGATCCTGTAGTGTAACAATGGATGCCATGGACCAGTTTCAAGACTCACTTTAGAGCAATTCCTTGTTAAAATCTCTGTTGCTAAATTAACTGTTTAACTTAACTGCCTAAACTGCAATATTTATTATAATTAGCTGTGTTTCTAACTGTTTCCTACTTGACGTTAAAGAATGACTCAAAGTGTGAATTTGTCAGCTCACTGGTGCGAGGCAGTTTATGGAATTCTGCCAGGAAAATTCATGAATGATGTCTTCATCAGACATGTGAACCTTAGCACCTGGCTGGACCCCCAGGTTTATCAGTGAGCTGTTGACTGACCTTGTGTGTATTCTCTGGCTTTTATTTGCAGACTTTTACTCTTCAACTTATTTGCCAAATAAACCTAGGAGGAGAAGCAACTTTCTGTTTTAACTTTCAATCCCCAGCGTTCATTCTCATGGCTACGGGGAAGGGCTAAATGAGGTTTCAGCAGCAGGATTATCAGCTAAATCTCTTGCTGCTTTTCGTGTAGGTTTCTCCTGTGGCAGCTGAAATTAGCACGGTCCATGACATTTCATTTCAGTACTGCTGAGCAGCTCTGAGTATCAGAAATGGAACGGACTCACTGTACTATTTTCTGTTTGTTACTCCTGGTTGTCAGAGCTGCAGGCAGCAGCAAAATAAAGGCATGGCACTCTGAGTGTGTAGCTGGGTAAGCAGCTTAACTGATCTAAGCTTCTCCTGCTGCCTGAAAACAGGAGTTCTTCCTTTTC